CTAACGCTCGCAGCACCGCAACTAACGCTCGCAAGAGACGCCACAGAGACCCCGACGACTGGAAAAAGATCCTGGACATGTCATGGGGACATTTCAAATTGAATGTGTTGTTAGGCGGATCGAATTTAGCTCATTCGGGATTTGTCCAATAACAATTACGGTCTTGATTTAAACATTCGAGGACGAATGTGATGTCAGGCGGGCCGAACTGTAAGAAATTCACTAGATATACACACAACAGAGATATCAACGTAAGGGCTATGTGGCTCAGTGATAGAGCGAAAATCTACCAATTTGGAGGAGAGAATAGACTGAGATCGAGACGAGGAGCACTCTGATATTTTTCTCTGTTATCGTCAATTGTTTACAGAAGAGAAAAGAAGTAAGCGGCACGGTTTGCGCGGTTATAATTACCTAGTTAGTTTCTGCACCGCATACCGCGTATCGCGCTCTATGTAATCGCACTCTCAATTCCCTCGCCAACAAGCAAGAATTACGTTTACTCCAGCCTAATGGCAAGCCATCAATTGCAGAGATTGAAATTGAGATTGCATTCACTATGATAAAATTTTAAATTCATACGTTACGTACGTACGTGTACTCTACGAGATTCTAAAAAGAGAAAAATTTGATGTCACTCGAAAACAGAATCCCTTCAAACATTAATCTAACCTTGACGAATGTTAAACACCAGCAACGCTACGCTAGGATTGTTCACGAATCTATAAACGCTAACGCTACCAATATACTATCTCGGAAGGAATAACATAGCGCGCAGTTGTGACGTAATACGCTACCATTAGTGACGTCATGATCGTGTTTGTTAGCACTATCTGCAGCTCCGCGAACAGTTTGTAGCTCTAAATAGCGTGAATAGATTGCGTCTCCCCGAACGCAATCATATATTGTAAAAACGGGCCTGAAAGTTGCAAATAAAGTCGGCGGTACACGATGCTTGTTTGTCGTACATAAAATTTACACTATACTATGTAGCCACGGAAACACGTTACACTGAATGAGTGTTTCATTAATGGGCGGTGAGTTCGCCTACTATCAGCCAAGGGAACACGCTATACGAGTGTCGCACTGATGGGCGATAGTGCAGCCAAGAGAAAACGCTATAAGCGGCACACGATGTGCTGGTTTTCCTGCTGGATTGCTAGCTACGAGGGGTATCCAGAAAATAAGTTCCGTTTTTTTTACAAATAAAGTTTTTATTGAAAAAATCTAAAATTTACATGGATAATACTTGACAACTTCTAGTCTTTTTCTACATAATTCCCGTCAATCTCAATACATTTTGTATATCTGGAAACAAGCTTCGAAATCCCTTCTGCATAGAAACTTCCCGCCAGTTCTTTAGTCCAGTTAGTTACAGCTGTCTGAACTTCCTCGTCGCTTTGGAAGCGTTTTCCGGCCAAGGACTCCTTCAGTTTCGTAAAAAGATGGTAGTCCGATGGTGCTAGATCCGGGCTATACGGTGGGTGGGTCAAAACATCCCAACTAAATTGACTCGTGTGGCCTTGTGTAGAGGAGTCAGTTCTCTGGGAACCCAACGGGCGCAAACCTTGCGAAATTCGAGTTTTTCTGAAACGATCTCATGGATAAGACTTCGGGATATCTCTGGAAAAAGATTGTGGAGTTCATCTAAAGTAAACGACGATCATTGCGAATCGCATTTTCAATTTTTGTCGTCAACTCATCCGTGATAAGGGAGGGTCTGCCTCTCCCACTTTCGTCTTCAAGCGAATGTCTTCCTGCCTTAAATTCTCGGACCCATCTCCGCACCATAGATTCACTCATCACACTCTCTCCATATACAGAAACAAGCTGTTTGTGAATATCAACCGATTTAAAATCTTGAGCAAAAAGAAACTGAATGATGCCGCGCAAAACAACTCAAGAAGGAATCGGAATGGAGGTGGCGGGACGCGAAGTGGAGGACTCCATTTTGATAACCTCTCCTGACCGTGTTTCACGAGCTACTGACGCCGAACACCGCTCATTCTATTCGGTAGCTTCCCCTCTTCAATGCTGTGTTGCCAGCTCGCTCATACATCGAACTTACTAAACATATAATACAAACGGAACTTATTTTCTGGATGCCCCTCGTAAATTAGAATCTTGCCACCGTATTGAATACGTAGCGATTACGGTAGCAAGATTCTAATTTAGTTAGCAATCCAGCAGGAAAACCAGCACATCGTGTGCCGCTTATAGCGTTTTCTCTTGGCTGCACTATCGCCCATCAGTGCAACACTCAGTGTTCCCTTGGCTGGTAGTAGGCGAACTCACTCAATGTAACGTGTTTCCGTGGCTACATAGTGTAGTGTAAATTTTATGTACGAGGAAGTAGGATTTTGCTACACGAGACGGTGTAGAGCCAATATGACATTAATAATTTGAAAATGGAAGTCAACCGGTAGCAAAATTAAACACGATAGCATGAAGTAGTGTACACCATGTATGTACACTTGTGTAGTGCAGCACTGATACAGCACTTACATGCAACTGGTATAGTGCGAGGTTCCAAGAGAAAACGCTATTAAATTCTAATACTAATTTAAGCTAGTCACATACACTTTTCGTAACAGTGACCATAAACACAACATAGGTTTTTGATCAATTGCATTGCTCAATTCGGTCGTCCGTAAAGGCCATTCTACTGTAAACAGTTGACGACAACAGAGAAGGATATCAGAGCGCTCCTCGTCTCGATCCCAGGTTGTTCTCTTCTCTGAGTTAATGGACTTTCGCTCTGCCACTGAGCTACACAGCTCTGACGCTGTTGGTATCTCTGTTGGGTGTATATCTAGTGAATTTCTTACACTACATTGGTCGTATCGTAGACGTCACAAGTCACAAACTTGTTGCTTCAGCCAATTCAATGCTTTAATTTTTAAGTCGCATGATGCTTACGACGCTTTCAACGCTACGATACGACCAATGTAGAATGGCCTTAAGGGTATATCCAAACATGAACGATCCTAGTGTAGCGTTGGTAGCGTTTAACCAGAGAGATATATTCGTCGAGATTAAGTTAATATAGGAGATTCTGTTTTTAATCACCAATCAAACTTTTCTCTGTAATTTAAATTTTTAGGGTTTTGTAAAATATGTGTAACATAAATTTGTTACTTTAAAAATATTTTACAAAATCTTAAAAGTGTGTGTGACTTAACAATCAAGCAATACGATTGGTCGAAAACTTTACTGTTAGGGGCTCTGCACAATAAAAGGAACAGGGATCAAAGAACAGAAAATAAGAATTTTAACCTATCAGAAATCATGTATTATGGAATACACAATTTCTGATAGATTAAAATTCTTATTCTCTGTTTTCTGTTCCTTTTATTGTGCGAAGCCCCTTAGTCCGGATCTACAATAGTGTTTTAAGCCTTAGGCCGGGTTCACACATTGATGGAAAAACGGAAAGTGAAAAAGCAGAAGCCAAAAAGCCAATCAGATCTCGTGGAAAGACTGAAGCAGACAAGCGAAATGTACCGTCTACTATTACTACTGCGAATTCCGATTGGCTTCCGCTTTTCCATCAAAGTGTGAATCCAGCCTTAAGCCATAAGAAACCAACTACAGTCAAATGCGAAGAGAATAATTTATTGTGATTTGTCCATTCCTTATGGCTTAAAGCTTAAAAATCTATTGTAGATCCGAAGTTACTGTTATGGAAAGTGCGTGTGACTAGCTTAACAATCGAGCAACGCGATTGGTCAAAAACCTTACTATTAGGGACTCCGCACAATAAAAGGAACAGGAAACAAACAACAGAGAATAAGAATTTCAATTTGTAAAATTGAATCTATCAGAAACTGTGTATTCCATAATACATTAATTTCTAAATTGAAATTCTTATTCTCTGTTCCTTTTATTATGTTTCCTTACTATTACGGGAAATGTGTGTAACTACTGACTAGCTTTATACCATATTATTTTTTAGGACTACGTTCCAAAACTTTCTCTCCGAGGAAGATTTTACTCTATGTGCCATAGTATACGTTATGTGTATTATATATTTCGAGTAAAATTTTTCTTGGAGAGAAAGTTTGGAATGTAGCCTAAAATATCATAATTGGTAATACTTGTCGTCTATCGATAATACCTTGTCGATAAAACAGGATACCTACAGAATGTAGCGGCTGTAGATTTGTCGCTAAAGGTTAGAATTGTCAAAAGTTATCAATACAAATTTATGAGAAATTGTGTATATATTTAATTTAAATAATTCATGGCGGTTTTACATCGCGCTTTGTTCACTTGGTTCAATTTGCTCATATTCTTGATCTTACTTGTTTTGAGGCTTGATCAGAGAATACAATGGAATTGGTTCATAATTTTCATTCCAATGTGGCTTTACGACAACATTCTCCTTATTTATATTGTATTCAATATGATTTCGTACTGCAAGAATGTACGTAACTTTAGTTTGAAGCGAGAAGTAAGTGTTTTATAATTTGATAAAACAATAAAATAAAATTTTCTTTTATCCTCTTGCGATTAAAAATATTTTATTTCAATTTGATTTTTTTCGCGTACAATTATAAAAAGTAATATTTTGTGTAAGAAAAGAAACGTAATAATTAAGAAATATTTCTAACGATATAAATCTCCAGTTAATTAAGTAAAACCAAATTTTAATGTATTAGGTGTTGGAATTAATTCGTAGCGTTTTTTAATGAAATAATGTTATTTATTTCACATGAGCATTAAAAAATACATTAATGAAAGTACTTCCCATCACTTGTAAAACGCTACGAATTAATTCCAACACCTAATACATAAAATTGTTTCAGACACGATACATGATAGCTGTGATCTTGAAATTGTGTGCACAGATTTTGATTTGTTTGAAATTAGAGGCTCCTCACTGGTCTCTACCAGCGAAAGCAGTATTAGCACCATTCTGGCTACTTCTTCCAATATTAGCCATAGATGTTATTTATCATTTAATGCTACAAACTACATATTGATGATGGATGAATTTGTTTATTTAAAGTTATTTAAGGGTGTGTATATATTATATTAATAAAAAAATTATTTAAGTGTTATTTGCTGTACATAATTAATTATTTGATAAACATTTTTATAAATTATTCAATTTATATTCCATTTATATTCCATGTTGTATTAAATAATAAAGTATGTTCGTTTTGTAAGCGTTAATTTAAATATGATAAAATATAGAAATATTTTTTATATCTGTTTATCTGTTTTATTCATTCATTCATTTATTCAAACATAAGGCAAAGTTTTCTTTGGTAAGATTAAATTGATTTATAGCACAGGATTTGAGAACATACAGCAATTGTAAAGTATAGATCTAGTCTACTATAAATACTTAGTATTGCACAAGGCCGAATAGGACAGAGTTAAAAATAAGTAACTCCATGACAGTGCTTGTAGCAATCTTCTCATCAGTAAATGAAAGTGTTTCCAATTTATAATTAATAATTTATATAAATGCTATTATCGCTGAATTTAATTACATAGAAAAAATAAAAGCAAGTTAACAACTGTTTGCAAGAGAGAGAGAGGAAGAGAGAATTGTTTTTATGATTACACAACATTCACTTAGAAAAGTCTTATGATGTATAATTATTGTGACAATCATCTGTGAACAACAAACTGGTTTTGCAATTGTGAAAAAAAGGTGATAAATGTAATTAGAATGTAATCATGAAAGAAGACAGACTAATAATATCTAACAGTTTGCTAATATTGATTGTGGCAGAATATAGTAATTGAATGTATTTCTATATAACTTTTACATTTTCTTGGATATATTTTTATTTTTTTTACACATACACATACAATTTTATATATAAAAAATTGTTTTTCTCTCTTTCTCTCTAATTGAAATAATCTATAAAAAGTATATTTAATATTGATTTTTAGGTGACAATGTGGCTTTTTATATTTTTTTATTTAACATTTATATTACAAAAATCCGAAACTGCAAATGACGTAGTAACAGTGAAAGAAGTGCTAGCTGGACACTTGGCTGAACTCCCATGCTTAAGTATTGATGAACATCATCGTTTCATGTTCTGGCAATTTGGAACTAACAATGTTATTGGTCCAGGGAATCCTTTAAATGAAAAGAAATATAATTATGAAGTACTGACTGGCATGCTTCAAATTAGAGTATGTTTTTAAAATGTATATTCTTCAAATTTTTCTCTTTTAAATAACAGTCAGTATTTAATAAGATTTTGTATTATCAAAATTATAATTAGGGTGTATCAACAGCAGAATCTGGATTTTATAAATGTTTTTCAAAAGGTTTATTTGACGATTCTCAATTAAAAGTTCATTCTATTGAATTAATAGTTACAAACGATTGGGAGCAACTATGGGAAAATGATTTTGAGGTATTTTAATATATATAATACACACACACACACACACACACACAATGTATACATATATGTATATATACATAAGAATAATCACAAGCCTGCATTTTATTAAAATGTATATTTGAATAGACAAATCTGTTACGGGCAATGACTGCTGTTATGGTATTAGTGGTTGCTGTAGCTGTCCTTCTTCTAGTTATTACTGTTAAGAAAAGAAGAAGTCAAAGATTCTTTGGTAATTTTTTATAAAAATTAATGAATAGAAAGAAAATGTATTTTTATACTGAAAATATGATTATCTTTTATATATGATTATTTGTACAGATCTCGAGGAGTCAAGAGAAAATTCTCCAGCACGCTATACGTCAGATAATGCACCTAGTGTTTCATCACGTGTCGAAAACGTTGGAATAGATAACGCTGTTCTTGACATTGATTTTCCTAAAGTATTTAAACAAATGCAGAAGGAGCAAGCAATGCCATAAGTTTTAATCATATTATATCATGAAATTACATTATTTTAGTATTTTATTCTTAAGTGTATATTTTGCAATACATGTATTTTAGAAATGTATACCTTGTAATTTATTTAAAATAAATAAATTTAAAACCGATTTTGAGAAATAAATCAAAATTTTCAATTACACAAAATGTTGTCATTTACAATCAATCTTTTTATATAAGTTATTCATACCTTAAATATATTTTACTTCAGTTTTCTTTCTTGTAGAACTCTTGTACGTCAGTTTTTGTTTCTGCAGAAAAATGTGCATTAGGTGTGGTATCCATCATACTTTCCACAAAACGTCCTTCTTCCTCCTCTTCATCTTCCTCATCTTCAGGTTCCGCTTCAGTTTCGAGTAAACGAATTTTTCTATTATTTTCATTCAAAATAGCAGCTACTTTTCGAGAACCACTGACTGCTAGTCGTCTCGCAGATATTCCTTGAAACGGTTTCGGCCACGTTGTACTGATGATGTCAGTTATTGATATTATTGCATCATTATCTTGATATTCAAGCATACTATGTAATGGCATTTGTATGAGAAACGATGCATGAGTTTGTTTATTCAATATAAGTAAACTAAGATAATCTTGTGAGTAAAATTGCAGATCTACTATCACAGTATCAATGTTTTCTTTTGAACATTCTCCTAGATATGCAGAAAAGTTAATTATTCTTATAACGTGATAGAGAAACAAATTAATTATATTATAATTGTATGTATTATAATATTATTAAGCTACTAACCTTGTTTCTGACTCACATCTAACGTGACCATCTTTGAACTAAGAGATATAGGGTCTATAGACAAATATTTTATGTTAAAAAGTCTTAACAATTTGCTATCAGTCTCGCTCATAGCTAACAAAAAATTTCCATCGTTTGTAACAGTTTGTGAAGACATGAGAGATGTAAATGATGGCAAAGAGATGGAGATCATCACAAAGTGATCAACTAAGCTCTGATAGGCTTCAGCAAAAACATTTTCTACAGCGGCAACTAATTTTACATGAGACTGTAGTAAAGATAAATTAAAATTTTGCTTTACTATATGTGCATAATTGCGCAAGCAATCATTTGCATCGAGCATAATAGCCCATTCGCTTCCTTCCGAAGTCAGGGGAGTCTGCAGATTTTCATGACGCAAATATTGACCCAATTTTTCTAAATTTACTTTACCATTTGCTTGCTATAAATGTTAATTCCTGCTGGCTTACACGACTTACTTCCGATGGTGCTCTTTCATCCGTTAGTTGAAGAATGGCTACGTACAACCATCTATAAATGTAACAAGAAATTAAAAATGAATTATTAAATATAAATAAGTTAATTAATCATTCAATTTTTTACTTGTACCGGAAAAATGCTTTATAATTGCGCATACTCTGGTCTATAACTTGTTCGATTTCATACGATTTTGCCAAGAAAGCTTCAAATTCATTAATGGCATTAGTTATAAGTATTTCATCACGTAGTCCTAATGCTTCATATGTGTCGCCTACTCTCACCATACCTCTCAATTCAGCTAATTGATAAACCAAGGCCATACCAACGCTAGTTAAATTTTTCGAGACTAGTTTCTGAAAATAATCTACATTCTAAACTTGTATAATATACACAATTAAATAAAAAAAGTAAATTTTTCAACATACTTGTATATTACTGTAACACATTTCAATACTATGTCCAAATTTTTTTAATCCTTTCTCTGTGAGATCTCTAAGTAGAAAAGTTTCTAAATTTTTCGTAGGTATTCCGATCATTAATAGTTCTAAAAAATCTGCAGACATACTACCAGGTGGATTTGCTTCTGCATATCGTGCGAGTTTTTCATCCATTTCCAAGAGTATTGTCTCCCAAGCTTCGCAAGTAGCCATTAAGGTTCGTGAGAGATAATCTTTCAAACATTCTATATTGGCTTGAGTTTGCGCAACCTAAGAATAAAAGATATAAATTAACTTAATGTTCTTTTTAACAAATTTTAAATTCTTATGCATAATATTAAGAAAATTTTGTTTTAAATCTTTACTATGAATATGTTACTCGCAACATATGTGTGTGTGCGCACGCGTGCGTACGTGCGTTACTCTCAAGATACCTTAAGAAACTCTATTTTCTCAAATAATGGACAAGATACTCTAGTTGTCTTAATACAATTATTATCCTTCCATGTGATCCATATCGGGTTATTAGATCCACCTGTGATTTGCAAGATTGGTCCATGGCCTATAGTTATAGTGCCACAATAAAACATGCCAAAAATATACATTAATGCTGTGCCATTTTTTTGACCAATCTATAAAAAATATATATAACTATTAATCATAAAATTACAAATGCTGTCTATTAGGATTGTGCTTTATGATATTTACAAAGAGCATATCCAGGATGTGAGACAGAAATTCTTTCCGCTCAGGTTCTGCGCTATAACTTCTGATTAAACTAGGCAGAGGTGGCAGATATTCGCCTGTAGGTTTATTAGTTTTATCACTTGTTAATGAACCTTCATGTTCAGAATTAGACAGTGGCAACCATTTAACACAAACAGTCAATTCGTTTGTAGACAATTTAATTTTATGAATAATATTTTTAGTCTCAACGTCAACAAGACATAATAGCTTAGAAATCTCATAGCACACCGCAAGCAGTTTTCCATCTGGTCTCCATGCCAAATGAGCTGTGATATCAGATTCGTCTTGAGGACTCAACAACCATACTCTTTGCCATGTGAGTCTATGAAGGACAACTTCACCTATAAAATTTTACGTTGTGGATAACAAAGTTTTTTTTTAATTATCTTATTAATATTCGTTAAATATCTAACAAAGGGAACATCAAGAATTTTTTAATATCATATTTTCTCATGGTAAAAATAAGAAAATGCAGTAATAAAAAAGTCAGGGATTTTGATGCTCTTTTTATACTGTTCTTGAACAAAAAAAAACACTGTGTGTTGATAATAATAAATATTTCATAAATGAGTTTAATTATCTATAATATTAATTTTGTAATTTCATTAAATTTCATTACAATAAAAAAATAATTAAAATTAATAACATTGAATTAAAATGAAATTTATTTAAAAATATTGATATTTTTTTATACAATACGTTTTTCAAATTATTACAATAATTATTTAAAAAATTGATTTTTTCAAAACTATGGACTGATGGCTGAAACGGCCGGACATATATCGATTTTTTTTCGCTCAAGAACAGCCTTAAAAAGCGCATCAAAATTCCCGACACTTGTCACCTGGTGTTCCCTTTGTTAAAATTTAATCAAGTAATTTTTTTGTTTTTTTTTTATGAACAATTATTAAAAGAAGGAAAACAAATATTAATGTTAAGCAATACCTTTACAATATTAGTTTTTAAATCTAACCTTTGACATTGCTAATTGCTAAAAGATCCATCTTTGGTGACCACAGCATCATCGTCACCTCTGCGGGGAGCTGACGCTCCTCCAACTGTCTCATAGTACCAGCCATATCTCAGACTGTTTTTTTTAAATGCAACAGATGATAAAAATCCTCACCAAACGAATGTCTGATCAAAGGAGGTCAATTACACGCGTACGAAATTTGTCTTTTCTTTTTTTTCTTCTGATATAGTGCTCGCTGATGAAATGATGGCGAATCCGACCAGACGAAATTTATATTTATTGCAACTTGCTCACGTTCACCGACGTTCGCATAACTTAGAGAAAAATCTCGTTTGTGTACGAACATTATATCACATTGTGTTCAAGCAGTTCAAATTAAAGTAGCGTGACCATATCCGAATACCGTCCAAAAGTTTAGATTCCGTCGCGCCACTTGATGGCGATACTTCATAACCTCACTACTTTCTCTAACCTCTCTCCCGTCAGAGAGAAAATTTTTGATTGTATTGTAAACAATTGATGACAACAGAGAAAAATATCAGGGGATCGATTCTGTATCTTCAAACAAGGTGAAAATTACAAGTGAGCAAATTTACTAGGTGTTGACCAATGAAATAATCAGTATTCTAGTAAATTAGCTCATTTTTATAATTTTCATCTCAGGCTCGATTATATATTGGGTCATCTAAAAAGTATCCGCGGTTTTTTGTCATTAGATCACCATCTAGTGACAAAAAACCGCGAATACTTTTTAGATGACCCAATATTTTGAAATGAGATGAAAATTACAAAAATGAGCAATTATTACTAAGTATTGACTAATTAAATTATGAATATTTTAATGAATTTGTTCACTTTTGTAATTTTCACCTCATTTCAAGATACACAATCGACTCCTATTTGAAAATACAGAATCGATCCCCAGGGCGCTCCTCGTCTCGATCCCAAGTCTGTTCTCTCCTCCGAGTTGGTAGACTTTCGTTCTGCCACCGAGTTACATTGTCTTGACGCTGTTGGTATCTCTGTTGTGTCTATATCTAGTAAATTTCTTAGGCCGGGTTCACACTTCGACGAAAAAGCCAAACGGAACTCGTAGTAGTAGTAGTACATTTTACTTACTTCTGTCTTTCCACGAGTTCTGATTGGCTTCCACTTTACCACTTTCCATTTTTCCGTTAAGGTGTAAACCCAGCCTTACAGTATTGTCTAGAATCTCTCTAGTGAGAGTCAAGGCATGAGGGGCATCAATCTCCTGATTGGTCAAATTTCGAGTCTTTTTAAACGCCATTTGCGGAACTTTTGATGGATAGTAAATCTGTGAATTGTGAGCAATTTTTTTGTTTCATGGTATAGAATAGGCTTGGTATAGAACAGCTTGCAATTAATATAGAACTAGAGAGCCTATAATCAGAGTGGCACCATACGAAAGAGACGTCATATTTTAGCGAAATTCTGCGAGAGAGAAAGAAATATACGGTCTCAGTCTATCCAACAGACTGTCAGTTTTAGGGTTAGATGCAACAGCATTGAACGACATAGATATGTAAAGGTACATTGATAAAAATAAAATTATCGAAATTATTTTAGAAATATTTTTATTAGGTTGGATGTACAGTACCGTTTTGTAACAATTAAAAAAAGAATATGTTATGAAAATAATTCCG